TTATTCAGTAATATTAAAAACTGATATCACATCCTTAAAAAACATAAAACTCATTTATAAACTTGACAATAACAAATGTTATTTACTAAATCACATCTAACTAGTATTTCTTCCTGTAAATCAAATCACATATTCAAAAATTTCCGTATTCTCCCTGGGATAATCAAATCTACTACGGGTAAAAAGGGGAGAGATTTGTCCATCTAATCTAAATAAGCAAAATTCCGAAGGGAACAGAGATGATATAGAAGACTTGTCCTACTGGCACATAACCCCCACAAGGTATACACACACATACACACACACATACACACACATACACACACACACATACATACATACACACATACAGAAACACACACACACATCACATCATCTCTTCAAATAGCCTTCAAATAGCACTAATATCGATTTCGATCAACACAACAAATGGTGTGAAATGGAAAAATGACGAACTGACGTTGCTTCAAAACGAAGTCGTAAAAAGAAGTTCCTTAAAAGGACGTCCGAAATGCGAAAGAACCTTGAAAAATTTCTTCACATACAAAAACACATAGCATATATATATATATATATATATATAAATGTATAGATGCATACATGCATGCATACACAGATACATACTCATGCATAAACGGAAATTATTTCTCTTTTCACGACTTACCAATTAAATGAATTACGATACGATAAGATTCACACACACACACACACACACACACACACACACACACACACACACACACACACACACACACACACACACACACACACACACACATACATACACACACACATACACACACACACACACACACACACATACATACATACATGCACACACATAATATATATATAGAGAGAGAGCCATATAGATATAACCTTCAAATGTGGCCAAAAATGAAATCCACTGCTCTGAAGTAATCGTCCTTCAGCTACAATGAATCAATCCTTAATCATCAATCTATTTCACAAATGAGATGAGTCGTTCACTGATCAGAAATCTTCTATAAATTCCCATTTAAATCGCTGTCTTCCAATACAAAATATCATCAAACAGGAAGATATGCAGTATAAGTGATTTCTTATTATCGCGACATCTGCCACTTAATAAAAGTTTCGTAAGTCACTTTAAAAGATTATTTAAGCATATGAAACTTACAATCATTATTTATGAAAAATCTTTCTAAATGATAATTTAATCAATTTATCAATCGATTCGATTCGACCCGATCCAATCCGTTTCGCTTAGAAAACATTCCTTATAATAAACAATTACTTCATTCATTATATTAGCACCAATACTAACACTGACCGTATGGTACCATTGCTTTTTCCATTAAAATCCCTTGAAAACAAAATAAAACGAAATGAGAAAATTGAAGTCTTTCCAAAAACTCCGACCATTACGAAATGTGAAAAAAGGTTGCAGTTGTTTAGTTACATACATACATACACATACACATACACACACACACACATACATATACACATGCATATACATGCACACACATACACACATATGAAGTAAAAAGTAGAATTAGAAAAGGGAAGGGGAAAAGGAGAGAGGAGAAAAGAGAGAGAAGAAAAAGTTCTCTCGACGAAGATTTCCGACGTCTCAATAGTTGAACAACCAACGGTAAGAGAATTAATGTCTGATGATGGATTGGTGTCGTTGAAGCCATTCTTACCACCGTCACCGCCACTACTACCACCGCCTTCCCTACCCGCTCCTCCTACATCATCTTTTCAAACTACCAACTTACTGCGGTGTTGTCTCCTTCATCACAACTTATTCACAAACACACACATACACACATGCACACACATATACATACACTGATCCATCAGCCGACTAAAGCAACCAAAGTAACCAAACAACCAAAGCAACCAAAGCGATGAATGAACGAACAAACGAACCAACCAGTGAAATTCAGCATAAGGAACAGGAAACATTAGCTTCTTCTCCTTCTCCTTCTTCACGTTTGTTTTAAAGCTAACGAATCATTTCATCATCCATTCACAGACAAACATTTTTCCACTCTAAAATTTCATTAGACTGTCATCATCATCATCATCATCATCATCATCATCGTCATCATCATCATCATCATCGTTATCATCATCATCATCGTTATCATCATCATCATCGTTATCATCATCATCATCGTTATCATCATCATCATCGTTATCACCACCACCCTTTCCTTTATTATCATTCATTCATTGCAACGATCGATTGCAGCAGAATGAACGAATGAAGAATGCAAAGAAGGCATTCGTTTAACATTTTCATTCATTTATTTATATCTCAGCGATCACTCCTATTGATTAGTTCTTTCACTAAATTACTAGTAATACTTATGTCGATTGATCTAATTTATCTCATTACTTCTTTTTATCATTCCCTTTTTACTTTCATTTATCAATAGTAGACTGATATTTAGTTCGTTGACATTTGTCGGATTAATTATTAGAAAGAAATATCGATGGATGGATGGATGGATGGATGGATGGATAGAAAAGAATCAATGCAACTGTAGTTTTCAATTTTGCAAATAGAAATTATATGAAAGGATGAAGAGGACAGATATCATCATTTATCATTTTATGAGAATGTTGTAACATCACAATCATCATTAACAGGTTTGATATCGTTTTATCAAGTTCAAGAGATGTTTTAACTGAAATGATGTAAATGATATATAATCCTTACGGTAATCCATAAAAGGGTAAACTGCATCATATCGCATCACATCGTCAAATCATAAACCTCCTCATCTTTTCTACATATTATTATGTAAGTGGTTAATAAATAAATAAATGAGTAAATTATGATAACGATAATGATAATAATAGTAATAATGATGATAAAAATAAAAATAACAATTAATAGTGCTAACATAGAATAATGCTAACATCGTTATTTCTATACAAATGAAAGGTAAAATTTGATAAAAATTTCACCAAACTTTTGAAAGAACCTTTTGTTCATTGAACAAAGATACACAATCGTGTCGCTATTATTTCCCAAATTCTATCTTAGACTTCATTAAACAGCTTCGCTTCATATGTAATTAAGTTAACACTGATAGTGTCAACTGTGCTGTGTCTCTCTATGCGTTCATATTTTCTATTGTTTCGTCGCAAATCTTCCGCTTTTCTGCTTTATGCTTAAGATTTGAATTTGCTCTATGAACTAATCCTTTCAAAATATAAATTGTATTTCCATAAACTTAATTTTTTTTTTTTTTTTGCTCATATTTAATTTAACATTTAACATCATGCGAACATTCCGCATATAATATAGTACTAAATTAAGTCAATTTTATTAAAATCATATATGATATCGAACGGAAAAATCAACAAAGAAAATACTACCAAACCTACCTAATCCATTTAATAATTATATATAAATGAATGGAGTAAAGCTGACCAACATTCTCGCTATTGTCCATTTGCCCATTTCATTTTATTTAAACAATAATCTTACTGGTAAATCGTTCACTGCAATATATAATATCCTTACGTGCACGGAAAAAAGATAAGAGGGAAGGTGAAATAGGTGTTATGGGGAAAGTTAAGGTGATAAGGTAGCTATTCCATATCACGACATTCACTACAACTATAATATCATTAAGAACGACGAACACTGAACTAAAAGATGAAGGAACTGAAGAGGACGAGAAGGAGGAAGAGAAAGAAGAAACGGTTGAATTGATAAGAGTATTTAATAATTAACAGAAAAGAGATAACAATAATAATGATAATAACAAATAATAATAATAACGATAATAATAACAATGATAATAATAATAATAATAATAATGATAATAATAATGGTAATAATAATAGTAATAATAATAATGATAATAATAATAGTAATAATAATAATCAGTAGTAATAATGACAATGATGATTATAATAGTAATGATAATAATAAAAATGATAATAGTAAAATTAGTTAATAACAATAAATAATACTAATATATTCTTTAGAAAGAAAATGATAGAAAAAATGATACTAGTTATAAACTAGTAATGCTAAAACATTAGCTTATTAGTTCTGTAGCATATAATAACAGTTCATTCATTCATTTCTAAAATGTTACAATTAAAGAATTCAATTATAAATGTTAATACTACAGATATACTCACATATTAATAAGTACTACAAAAGTGATTCATTTAATTGAACAAATAGGTATGGAAGCAAAAGCCTTAGCAAATAGAAGTATGCAATACAGATGAATGAGCATAGCAACTAAGCGCAGTTATGCTACTGCTACTGCTACTGCTACTGCTGATGCTACTGCTGATGCTGCCACTGCTGATGCTGCTGCCATTCGCCATCATCTGTCTTCCTTCGTCTCGATCGATAACCTAGGCATCCCACTGAATCAGTATCGATCTGCACTCCACCACCTACCTACCTCACCATCACCATCAACAACCATCAATCCACCCATCCATCCAGCTACCCTTCTGCTCCTTCATCCTTCTATCAGTGGTTCCATTCATCACTTACTACCTATACGTCTGTGCACTCACATGACGTCATAGTGGAAATAATCTCTTGTATTTACGACATTTGCCAGTTTTTCCGCATAGTTATGAAAAGTAAAGGTTCATTATTGAAAGTAGTATCAGTGTGATAATTGTTTTACGGGATTATTATAATGATTCATCGTACGGTGATAATGTTGATGAGTCATTAACAGGTTTTGTTCATTGCACCAGTCGTCGTCGTCGTTGTCGTTATTGATGACATATGTATCGTGTTTCTTTTCCGGACGGTTTTACTGGAACTAATATTTACTGCTTACATATTTCTTTTCTTTCCTCTTTTTTCTCTTTCCCTTTCTCCATTCTCTCTCCTAACATTTCTTAACGTCGTGACGCTGTCCTTCTTGGTACCATTGGTGTGACCACTAGTACCTCACGTACCACACGTATCGTAGGTACCACAACATTATTGCTATGGTTTGTTTAGATCGTAGCTATCATAACATTATTACTATATTCCGTTCGGTAGCATTACTACCTATAATTATATGAATTGGAGATATCACTAAGTGTAATTATTTACACATTACTAATGCTGTTTTTACACTGTGGTATTATTATAACGATAATTATTTACACTGCGGTGTTTTTGCAATGATTATTTACATTACGGTACAGTTTACTGTTGAATGGATTTGTAAGGGATGGGACACATTCAGTATACTTTTATATTTATACGGTTAACAGGATCAGGTTTCCCAACTAAAATAGGTTAACAGAAGGAAATAATACTTATGCTTTCAGTTAACAAGAATGTGTTTAATTTTGCTGTATTTATAAGGAAGTAATTTAGCTTAGCTTTGAAATTCAAAACAGTATATCAATATTGGTCAGTAGCAGTGATAATCATAGCAAGAATCAAATACTTATTATCTGATTGGTACTTTTTATTGCTTTCGCATAAAGATCATTCGATTATAACTTTTTGAAATGCCCTAATTGTTGCTTATCAAATAGAAATAAAAAGCTAAATACTGAAATAAAATTTAATGGACAAGTAACACATGAGTGTATAAGAGTGTGTAGAATAAAATAAATCATTGAATCGCCATTGAGTTTTTCATATAAAGTTGGAATTTTAGGGTACGTTTCCCCTATACTACTGCATGTATAGTTTTATAACGGTCACCGAAAAGGGACAAAAAGATTGAAATTTGATTTGGGAAAAAAGTATTGACAGATACGGTAAAGAAAATTGGGATGAGCTGATAATTTATTATTTTATATTTCGGGGTATCACTTCAAGTATCAAGCCAATTTTCAGTAGTGTAAAAAAATCACTTAGAAACTTTCATTCTATTGAGCATCATATTTTAGTGCAAGAAATGGTTAAAATTTCATGTCATATAATTTAACGGGTTTTCCGAAGTAACAATCCATGATGACACGTATGGTATGTTGTACTAATTGCAGAAAAACACTAATTGTACATAAAAGTGACGTAAAAATTTTTTATATTATGGGTTCTGGGTAGTGGATAAGTAATTTGGTAATGATAGGATTAACCTCTGCGACAACCAATAAGTAAATTGTATGATTGTTTCCTGTAAGAAAGAATTGGTAATGGTAGAATTAACCTCGTTGATGAATGGTCAATGGTAGTGGGATGACCTGTTAAAGAAGGTGTAATGTTCAATAAGAACATTGTTATTTTTGATACATCATGTCATGTCATTATTTTTTAAAGCTAAATGGTTACAAAAAACTCATCAAATAATTTAAATTAGAATTTAAGAAAATTGCAGTAATTTGAAAGTTATCCCATAACATATGCAAATAACATTTTAATAATTGGTGCCGTCTCATTAGTCAAATTGTCGTTCATTTGATAAATGTGCCCATCTTTCACCAAATTACTCAGTTTTATAATTAACTTCCGCTCGAAATTCAATTCATTTATTCGAATCGGAAATATTGCCATAGAAATAAAAAAAAACGAGTATTAGCTAATTGGGTACTGTTTTTTTTTTTTTCATTTTTTCATAAGGAAACAGTTTACACAAGTAATACACAACATATCATCATAGTAGTTTCACCAAACTCTCTTTACAATAGTTACTAGTAATCAAGATAGTCATAATGATTGAAAACATTTAATTTTTATCATTTTATATTCACACTCCCTCATTCAAAAAGAAAAGAAACCGAATTACAATATGTTGAAATAAATTTTTACTAAATCCATAAGACTAGAGATTGTCTTATTTGAATATTCCTTAGAAGTAAAGCTGTTTCAAATTCCCATCTCAAGTGAGAAACCATTTATCCCACACTCATCTCTCAAATGTAGCCATGTCAAGCTTATGTTTAGTGTTTAGAATGTTACCCATTGTTAACAAAGAATGTTTACATTGCTTAATATGTTGAGAATTACTTTGAGTCCTTTTATTCTTGCGACCTTAAATTTTAGAAGTCAAACTGAGATTCGATTGCTAAAAGGTTTTTGGTCAGCTCTTTGTCTAACATCGAGTACAGAGGTCTGTCGGTGTGACAGTCACTCTTACAAGCAATTAACAACTCTTACTATCTTACCTGTATAAAAAGTAAATTCGTTCGATAGTGACAGCTGTTTACTTACTGCGAGTATGAGCCAATGCCCACCTAAACTTCAGTTTGACTGATCTCGCGCACTCATTCATTCAAACTCTTCCGCATCTTTCCATGCTCGTAGATAACGCTTCTAGAAGTTATCAGTACATTATCAATATGCATTAACACTTTATGTAACGTAGTTCGTTGGAATAAAATTCGTTACAACAGATCCCATTACACAACACATCTATAAACACTCCAACCACAGAAAATTTCCCAAACAAAATATAAATTTTCGACAAATTTCTTGGCACCCGAGATGAGGTAAAATATTTAATAACATAATAAAGGCAACTAAGGCGGTCAAGAAGATCAAGAAAATCATCAGTAAAATTAGGAAACTAAACCTTTCGCTATCAAAGAAAGAGCTATGACGTCAAAAGAAGAGTTATCAAGAAAAAATATTACGTCTTGAATTTTATACAAGCACACTCGAAACAACAAGCCAAGATTATATATATCCAAAAGTTACAGCTCAACAAATAAAGAAAGAAGATAAATATGTGGAAATGGTCGACGACAGTAAGTAGAGTATTAAGTAATCTTAATAAATGATGCTAAAGAAACTTTAAGTTGTGAACAATTAGAAGTTAATTGTGCAGCGATTAAGTTAGCAAGGTATGAGAGAATTACTTCCACAGAAAATATCTCAATATTGCCTAGCGTAAATTTGCATAGTTGTCACTGGCAAATTTAATGGCGACTCAAAAATTTTTAGACATTTCTGGAGCGGCTTTGAAGCAGCAGTTCATCTCCAAATTATCTTAGACATCCAGGAAGTGAATTATTTGATATTTTTTCATAAAGGAAAGACTCTACTAGCAATAGGTTAGAGTACTGCTTTGAAGAACTTAGTGTCATAAGAAAGATTTTGAAAGGATCTAGAACATTTTAGTATAGAAGACGTCATTGAAAGTAAATTTCGGCATAAAGAAAGAAGAAATTTGGGCAGTCAACAAGCTAAGACAATTCTTGACAGAACTAGCGCAACGTAAGCGGAAAGTCACTAGATGCCAAACTTTTAGTGGAATAAAAACTAGCGGAACGTGAAACTGGGAAAGAAGCATCGATCTTAATCACGTTGACTACGTAACCAAGAAGATAGTCCAAGGAAATTTCTGTGGATAATAAAGCTAGAATAAATACCATTGGGTTTTTATTCAATGCCATATTTATTGAGGAAAATCAGTGCAAATGTCTTCGAATATGGCATGCAACAAGTGATTCCAATAAAAAGTAACTTTTCTTATTTCTGCTGCAACATTCACAATACGACGCTATGTCCGAGCAAATTACACGGAAACAACCACCTAAGTAATGAATTCAAATACGGAACAAATGGATCTGTGTGCAATGCACAATAACACTTTGTGTAAGAAAATCATTGTAGTCAGTAAGGCTATCCATCATATTAACAGGTTAGTTAATGAATTGAAACTTCAGTAAACGAAAAAAAAAGCTGAAAATCGCTTCGTTTGGATGTTAAAAACATGTTTTGTTACCAAAAGGGATGGAAAACGGAAAAGGGGTATAATAATTCTTGAGATAGTTGGGGTTGATTACTCAACAAATTGCAAGTTATTAATTTGAATAAAAAAGAGTTGTCATCAATAAGCCAATAAGATCAACTAAAAGCAACCTGACACATTCATTGGAGCCAGTTACCTCTTCAAATTTATCCAGTTAAGTAATATTAAGAATTTAAAATCTGACTTCTCATTACTTCATTAAAAATCAGATCAATAATAGCTTATAATCGTAGAATCCGCGAATGTCACAAATACTCCAGATTTAGATCAATTTTGAAAATTAGAATTAATAGACATTCAAGAACAATCCAATGCCTAAGATGTTGAAAAGGCATTAGAAGGCATTAGAATTTAAACAAAATGTCACCAAGAAACAAAAGGAATGTCTTTTGGCCAAAGGTTAGACTAAACGACAATCTTTTTCTTACTCGATTAAAATCGTTAATCAAACAACTTCAAACTAATTCTCAACTGCACAGTCGAAACAATGAAATAATTCAAAAACAGCTACCTCCAACATAATCGAAGAGGTGTCTTCTGATATCAGTCAAAATGGTATTACTCATTATTTATCTAATCATACAGTATTGACACTAAATAATTTCATGACAAAATTAACAATCGTTTACGATGCATTAACTCACTTCAAAGGAATGAAAAGTTTAAACGATGTTTTATATCATTTAAGAACCAATAAGACTCCCGGATCCAAAAACCTAAAGGAGATACCGCGATTCATTACAACCTTCCCAAATGAAACACAATTTCACCACTTCACTTATGTTGCAAGATGGAACTGTGGAAATGAAGAAGACAAAGTAATAAAACTTATTGACAGTAGATTCTTTTTATGAAATTGGCAACAAAATAAAATCTGCGTTCATACAACGATTTTAACTAAAATCACCAACAATTAAAATCAGTTTTTAGATATTGCAAGCTTCAATGAGTTTTTCAGTTATCTTTCAACAAATAGTAGCACAGTAGCTTTAGAAAAAAAGATTCAATCAAAAATAATTTATTGTCTTTTTCTATAGAATAATTAAATTCTCCCATTATATGTTTGTTGAAAAAAGTGATTGTATTGGTAACTGCAGCACTTTATCATTTCATGTCTCAACAATGCATTCAAACTACCAAGTCAAACCTAGATAGACTACCTAGCTTAACTGAAACTTTGGCTGCTTTTAACTTCTCAATCTTTACTAATAATAATTACTAATCAGTTACTAGATTTAATAATGACGCATTACTTTTCTACATAATGTAATCACTTGTTCAAACTCTGCCACGATTTGATAAAACATTACTGTTTTGCTTCAAACAAATCTCCAAATGGCATTTTATTTGGCTAACATATTTTTACAAACGCCATTTTCAAAACATAACATGCAGTTCGTATATAGACTTGCCACTAATCCATAATCATATATTCGAGAAGTTCGAATCAAAGCAGTTACCGGAAATATATTTTGCTGGAATAATGCACCCTTTGAGATCATCGAGAAATAATTACCCATATCGGAAAGTAATGCTAATATTGTTGAGAGTGATTCTTCATGTGGTATGTCACTCTCATAAAACTCCACCTGCAATTAAATTTCGAACGAACGAATAATAATCGTAAGATGAACAGAAATTTGAAAATATATGTTTGAAATTTAGTTTTAACCAGAATTTCTCAAATTTATATTCCGTAAAGTCATGTAATTTACGGATTTCATTTGCAAATTAATTCAAAAAACTAAAAATTAATTCAACTGATAAATAACGCAATCTGGGATAATTCAAGTAACACTGCGTAAATTATCATAAAATTAAAGTATCGGTACTTATTGAAAACTTACAATGACACCAATTTCCACAAAGGAGAATGTATGAGCAAAAGCACAGAATGCAGCAACACCGCTAGTGAGTTTTTCATTGAAATAACGCAGCGTGATACGCGAAAGTTGCCATGGTTCTAGTGTTGATTCTTTTGGAAGTAATGTGGGTGGTTGATGTCGAAGCCAATAAAGCTGAAACTGTAGTGTATATAAAGAAGAGTAGGCTGATTTCAGCTTTAAAAGTGCACAATATCATTTACAAAAAATTCATATGTAATGATCCTAGCCTGAGGTTTTCATCCATAATCTATATTCAGACTACACACATACCCAAACACGCACGGCTTTACGTTGAAAAATATTAATAAAATAAATACAAGCAAAGTAAAAATAAGTATATAACCTTTGTACGATCACTGATAATATTAGCTGCACAGATTTTGCACAACAAGTTAAAGGAATCGTTATCCGTTGTTGCTTCCTCACTGCCACATAAAATAAGCAACAGGTTCACATTAGGTTCCGGTTCTACCTCAACATCTCCAATTAACATTTGATAAAATGCTGCAACAGACAAAGCAATAAATAAATCCAATCTAATCACCGCTTTTTTTATCAACTTATTGAATAAAATTAAATTACAAGATGAAGTTCAACAGCAAAGATAAGTAGAAAAACAAGGTGAAGTAAGCTAAATCCAAAAATAAGACACAGCGAACGCATATGAAAAGTTAATCAAAATTAAAGTAACCAAAACTAAATAGTAAATTAAAAGTAAACGCGAAATCAAAATGAAACAAGTAAATTGAGCGAGACGAAAAGGAGCTGGGACGACCATTTTGCATATCGCAGCTAGAGTGGCCGTTCGTAGTAATCGGTTTACATTAGGTTTGTTCGTTTCATAGTTAGGAATGGTAGGTTTGGTTAGATGTGTGTGTGGTATGTCTCTTGTTGGTAAGCATCACTCTAAATCGTTTGTGGGTTAAAGTTACTACCTTGTTTGTCTAGAACTGGATTTTTTTTTTGCTAATGTAATGCTAGTAAATGATTTAGGGTATTTTTCAGGTAAATTGTGGAAATTATATCAAGTAAGAGTATTGCTGCAGTTAATAATCGTCAATTATGGGTCGCATGCACAATCCCGGCAAGGGTATCTCACAGTCGGCGTTGCCATACCGTCGATCGGTACCAACTTGGCTTAAGCTTACAAGTGAGGAAGTTCAGGAGCAAATTACACGTCTTGCTAAAAAGGTTACTTTATTTACTTACTAGCTCATGTAATGTCTTATGCAGTCATTTATTTCTTTACCTGATCTGTGGAGGCTGGAGGTAACATAGCATCTCTTTTTTTTTTTTTTTTCGAAAATAGCATTATCTAGAAGTTGTGTTAGAATTTCGTCGAAAATAATTTAATTTCTTGGATGGTTGAAGATTTATGTATGTTCAAATATTGTCAGGAAGGTAATCGGATTCCAAATTTACTATGCGGTTCCTTCTTTATATAAGTAAGCACTGAATAATTCATGCTGCCGGAAGTATTTGCGGTGTTTTACATTATAGGGTTTACGTCCCTCGCAGATTGGTGTAATACTGCGTGATTCACATGGCGTTGCCCAGGTTCGACGTGTTACCGGTAACAAGATTGTACGCATTTTGAAAGCTAAAGTAAGAATTTCCATTTCTGCATTTTTATTCGATTTGTTGTATTAGTCCTTAAGGCGTAACTCGCTCCGATGAGTTGATCATTGTTGTGATAGTTCGGTAATATAATAGTGTATAATCATTCATTTCTTCTGATTATCTACAATTTTTCAGGGTATGGCGCCTGAAATCCCGGAAGATTTGTATCACCTTATAAAAAAAGCAGTTAATATTCGCAAGCACTTAGAGAGAAATCGCAAGGTTCTTTAAACCGATTTTCCTCAATTTATTAAGGAAAGAATTCATTCGTACTACCATTTATTCATATTTCATGTTAACATTTGTGGATGATTTTCAAAGAGTTGTTTAATAAAATTCTCATGTTTAAATAAGGACTTTTTTGATGAGGAAAGAAAGTAGATGTTACTGTTTTGAGCGTTTTTCTTTCTGAATAGTGTACTACAATGGCTAGTGTCATGATTTGCAGGACAAAGACTCAAAGTATAGACTGATTCTTGTCGAATCACGTATCCATCGCTTGGCTCGATATTACAAAACGAAACGCCAATTGCCAGCCACGTGGAAATACGAATCATCAACGGCGTCAGCACTTGTTTCATAAAGTGAATAATTTCGTTTTGCTGTTGTCAGTTTACTTCTCTTTTTTTGAGAAAAAAGTTTTTTACGAAATAAATATTTGCTTATTTATACATGTGTTGGTGCTCTACTTCAAAATAAGACACTAAAATGCGCGATTGTGATGTACCAGTAATGCTCACGGTAAGTACTAATTGTTGATGGGGAATATGCAATAAATATTTGCTTGATCCCAGTGATTTAATGCATTAAATGTGGCGTAGTGTATTTGGTGGCACATTTTGGATAACGTATCTTAGAGCTTCAAAATGAATTTTCTGGGATTTTCTGTTTTAGGAAATAATTGAAAGATTTCGATGGGAAGTTTGAGGGTATGGGAGTATGTTGTTTGACGGATTCTTATGTTAGGCTGTTACTCCAGGTACACGAGATGTACAAATGTTACTCATCGTTTTCACTCACATCATACTAGACTGTATGGGAAAGATTATGTTTGTTTACAACAGTGAAACTCCGCCACGATAAGCTTCCGATTACTTCGTTGCCCAGCAACGAGATGTATTGCTATTTTGTGTTGGCTAATTTTATATTGGTCTTTATTAAATTCAGTTATATTTAAGGATGAAAGTAAGTTTTTCTTTGGCGAGATTCAGGGCAAATTATGAAATGAAAATGAAGCAGAGACTAGTTTAAGTCAGTCATGTACAGGAAGTCATTGATTAATTATAGAGTGAAATAAGAAGCAATGGAGATATTCCATTAATTTAGAAAATCAATTGAATATAGCAATATTATTGTGCACTTGCAGTTAATATGTAGTTTAACAGAAAAAGAACTTGGCGAAGGTGAGCCAATTTTTGAATGGCGTCCAAAAGGGAACTATCTTGCTGTTGCTGGGTTTGTTTTATTTACTTTTCATTAGTTTAAATGTCACTTCGCTCACGAGAAATATCTTGCTAGAGTCTATTTCAAACTAATACTTTATGATTAATTACTTAATCATATTTATTGGGAATGGAATATTAAATGGTCAATGACAATAACTAAATAATTGACATAATTGTCGTGGACTTGATGTCATACTTATGTTATACTCATTTTGCATTTTTGTTTATTAAATTCAGAATCTAAGTCAGTTTTGCATTTGTAATATGTAATTCATAATTCACTAAGGAAGCAGCTCATAGTGATTTGAAATATCAAAATTTTTCAGCTCCAGTAACTTGGTGAAACTATACGACCGAAGTGGCAATTTGATTGACGAATTAGTCATATCCGGGTAGGATTTCTTTTTAGGTGGCAGTTAGTTATTTGTTGATTTTATTTATTGATTTCATTATTCTCAATAATTCTTTTTTCCTTTTTGTTTTTACTATTATTTTTTTTATTTCTGTACAGGCAGGTGGAAGCATTATCATGGGATCCAGATGGTGACATGTTAGCTATAATGAATGATAAGAGTACAGCAGTAACATTATGGGAATTTACGTCGAAAACAGCCACCAAATTAGATAGTGGTATGAGCGGAAAGTAAGTATTACTGTATGATGTAGCGTAAGTACATTTTTTTTTTCCCGTAACAGTACATTTCTTATGCTTTTCTAAAACTTTGTAATATATAATATAATATTTATAATATTTAATTTTTTGTAGATATAGTATTTAAATTTTGTAGCTCAGCAATTTTCACTTTCAATTTCAGATATGTTCTAAAATTTTTAAGGGAGAAACCAACGTTTATATTATGGTCTCATATTTCGCCAGTTTTGGCTATCGGTTATGATACGGGAAATTTGTTACTTTATAACCAACGTACCTCACGGTTAGTTTTATATATATAAGGAGACAGAGAGAGAGAGAGAGAGAGACAGACAGCAATTCTCTTATTTCTTATTTCGATATTTCTTTCTAATTCATTTATAAATTAAGTCTGCAACAAATTAATTAGAAAGGGTCTGATTAAAATTTCTTCGAATGCAAAATATAGTTTATTTTAGTACTATTTGAGCTACATATGCACAGAATTGTATGTAATATACGTTATTCAGAAAAAGAAAACGTATAAATTTGAAAGAATGAATCTTTATGTTATCCTTTTCAGGACGAAGATGATAGGTTGAAAATCATTCCAAAATAAGCATGTTGAATACCTTTTTAATAAATTAAAAGGAACATTTCTTTTATAGCAAGACTTCAGCAATCGGGAAACATCAAAGTGCCATAACTTGTGGAGCATTTTCAAATAATGAATTGCTTGCATTGGGTTCAACCGATTTCACTATAACTGTTAGCAGCATTGACGGTGATTTGCTATATTCATTCATGTGTAACATGGAACCATCACTGATTAAATTTTGTGATCGGAAGCAACAAACTGATAAAAATGCCAAGCCTGACGTAATGGTTAGTTATGTTTTGAATGGAATAATTTAATAAGATCATTATAATATCTTCTCAGTCATTATTCATTACCCATTAGTTTTCTCCAAAACTTTCACTTTTTTTTCGTTTTCGTCATGCCAGAATTTGACTACATAAGAAATTATCTATCGATGTCGTTAATTTCTATTATTATTTTATCATTTTTTTTTTGTTCCTTTCTGTAATCCTTCATTCTGTTTTCTTCCATTTATTTTTCAAAAATGAATTGTCTTGAAAAAAACTACGAATTTGATTTTAAATTCAAATTGTTGAATTGTATACTCTTAAATAATTTTAAATAGTATACTCATTTCAGTTAGGTGCTATTTTGAGTCAGAATACTATCCTATTGGCAGAGCTGAGTGATAATACACAACTTATCAATCTTCAATGTCAAGTTCATTACGGTCAAATCGTAACATTTTGTTGGTTGGTTGGTTATTGTCAGTTATTATATACATGAATTATACTTACTTTACCTAATAAGTTTTTTTACTTTAGAAATTTTCACATAGTTTAATTTGAAGAACATTTGTATCATATGATTTGATGGAAAAGTTTCATCTAAAAAAGCCGTAAAAATGTCAGTGATTGTAAGTAGAATAATGATATTATTATTGACGAAAAGGACATAATATTATAGTCGAAATGCTTTCATAAAAAAAGAAAGAAAATTTTAGGTATCGGAGTAATTTTTTATTATTGGGTTTTGATAAAGGTTTTTTTGTTTGTGTTTCAACGATTGCTGCAGAGATTGGTCAGGTTTGTTAACTTCAGTTTTACGCTGTTGTGTTGTTAATCTTTTCTCTTTTTAAAGAACTAGTTATTTCCATTTAATTGTTTAAAAATTATTTGTACTCATTTTATTCATCATAACTATTATTTGTAAAAAAT